ATTAAAGAAATCTTAAAACATATGGTATAATTGCCTTAATGATGTTTATGGCTAAGAAAATATTATATTATTTTATGATTATATATTTTTATAATATTTTATTATTGAAAGCATACTTTTGATATTTATTTTATATATGAAAGCATACTTTTGACTACATTTTATGTTTAATATACTATAATGAGTAGGTAATCTCTTTGATTAGTGAAATATCTGTTGAATGAATTCTGTTAAATAATATTGTTATAATGTTTCATTGGGAATTTTTATAGAGATATTTGAATATGATCTCTTGATTAGTGAATATCTGTTGAAATGATATTTTAATAATATTGTTATATGTTCATGAATTTTTATAGAGATATTTGAATATGAATTTGTCATTATTTTATTTATGAACATTATAAGAACTCCTGAAAAGCTCCTAAAGATTATAAACTCTTTAAGGGAAGAGTCTGAGATGAAAGACATTGAAAATATAAAATTTTATCTCGACTTGAAAATCGAGCATTTCATAAATGAAATTTTGCCTATAAATCCACATAAACGACTAAGTTATTTAAATGATTTTATATGGATAATCGTGGAGCCACTTGATGAGAAGAGGACCATTTTCACTTTGAGAAAATTCTGAAGAACTCTTAATCCTGAAGTACCATATCTTAGTGCAATAAAGGCCCTACTGTATCTTGCTACTTATACTGGACTTGATTTTTATAAATTTTATTAGCAAGATATAGTTCTTCCTAGATATGAAGAAATTAAATGGAGCTAAATACATATTTTGGCATCTCCATGACATGATATATATGAGTTATATTGTAACTAACATGTCAAAATCAGTTTTGATCAGCTATGAAAATGCAGTTTACTTGTGTAATCAATATTATGTTATATCATAATCAAGTGGTTCGTTTACATGTGGATGTACAATTATTTCTTGGAATTCAAGGGATAAAGCATTGCTGCTACTTCTTTTAGCCATACAGATACTTTAACAACTCATAACGAATGATAAGAATGTGTTTGTCATAGTACGTGCAGTCTACTTCTGTAGAGAAAAAATTTCTACAATATTACATGGAGATAATATTTTTTATACTCATCTCCCTTGAAGGAATGATATATTTAAGAAAATAAGAAGATCATATTTTACAAAAACTCTTCTTCGCTCATAATTTACAAAAGAATGATAATCTTGAAGTTCAACCACTCAAGTGATGATATTGTTGATTTGCTCATCAACATACTCTCTACTTCTACTACAACTTTTCTACCACAAGTTTTCAAGAATTGACGCACAAAATTGGACTGCACAAAACTCAAAGATCTCAAAATTTATTTTTATGAGGAGAGTAAATACACATTGTATTCTTTTTCCCTTTAACTAAGGTTTTCTTCCCATTGGGTTTTCCTAGTAAAGATTTTTAATAAGACAGTTTTTCAATGCGCATTGAAGAAAAGAAAAATGTACTCTTTTTCCTTCACTACGATTTTTTTCTACAGGGTTTTTTCTTAATAAGATTTTAACGAGACATATTTTTTTGAAGAATGGACATCAAGGAGGAGTGTTATGAAATAAGTGGATATCTTATATGGACTAGAAGTCTGTATTCTTAATGATTACGAACTCTATCTTCTTGATTTGTGTAGGACTTTATTAGGGTTCCACTTATGTAACTATATATATGTGGCTTATCATTAATAATATGCCACATTCTCGTATTCTCTCTATTCTCCCTTTATTTCTCTCACTATTTTTCTATTATTTTATAACAATAACTGTGTACATATTTGTTATTCAATAGAAGTACCTAAATGCTTTATATTTGGTTTTGCTTTATATTATATCTAACAATATATATTCACTGAAAATAAAAGAAAATTACTTTCTCATTAAAAAATATTATGATTTCTATGATTATTCGTACATAATGCGAGAGTTAAAGGATCAGTTATTTTTGGAAATATATGCATTATAAATCAAAAGATTTTCAAAAACATTAATGCTTACTCAAACAACATATAAATATTTACATGCGAACCGCGGTTATCGACTAGTTAAGAATAATTAATAAGGCCTAAAGATTAAAAAAAAAAAAAAAAGGTTTTAAATAGGTAAAGATGAAAAGAGCAGATTAGTGGACTGTCTAGAATTTTTTGGAGAGCAGTTAACAACAACAAATCAAGCCAAACAACAATCAATTAATCAACTCAATGACAAATATAAAAAACAATTATAACAAATATAAATGTAAGCTTTTCAATCATTTTTAAGTTTTATTTTCAATTCCAAGCATTGTCTTTTTAATTTTAGACTAGTGTGATTTGGGTCATGATGAGACAAAATAATGGCATATAAATTGAGTAGTATAATCTCATATTGTCTCTCCCTCTCTCTTAAAATGTAAGTAGTTTGAAATTTTTTATATGAGATTAAGAAAATAGTTAATTTTTTTAAATTATAACAAAATTGATCAAATTAACATTCATTTTAAAGCCAAGAATAAGGTAATTTCTCCTCCATACACAAAAAATAATATTATAAAAATAAAATCTGAGCATTTTAATATAAATATGTGAAAAACAGTAAGGTTAATTTCTCCTCGACACGAAAAAATAATGATAGAGCAATAATGGTTGTGTACCAACTGGTCCATCCCTCATCTCTTTCTGTACAGTTGACAGTTGCAATGATGGATCATGAGAGGCACCGAAATTAATTGTCATTTCCAAATTACAAATCTGAACTGGCTCATAAATTTACTATTCGTATCAATTATCCATTCTAAATTTAACTAAATATTAGTTTAAGTACTTATATTTAAATTAAATAATTAATAATTTTATTATTCATACTTATTCGAAATTTAATTAGAATATTCTTAAGTACATAATACATCCACAAATTTTAAACTACTAAAAACTGAATCTATTTGGAATAATTTTTTTATTAGTGACGAATGGGATACCCACAACGACACCATTTTAATATGATAGATATTAGGGATTAGGTAGCATGCTAAAAGACCTAAAAGTGCATTTGGTTTGGTTGACTAACGTAGCTGGTAGCTCTTTCGTACCTAATAGCTAAGTTATGTATGTTTAGTATTTTTTTCAGTAGCTCATAGCTGATAAAAGTTTCAATCAATTGTTGTTTCTATAAACTATGTTTAAGAGCTTTTTTGCATGAGGCAGCTGATTTCTTATTTATATTATTTTGAATTTCATTAATCTCATAAAAAATAATTATTGATAAAATTATTTTTTTTCAAATTAATATTTTTTATGATAATTTTGTTTATAATTATATAATTATTCGATAAAATTATTTTTTTTCAAAAAATTAAATATTTTTTTATGAAATAATTTTGTTATTAATTATTTAAAAAAATTTTCTTAAATATTATTTTAAAATTTTTAATTAAATATTTTTTATTTATGTAAATACATTAAAATAAAAAATAAATAATATATTCACTCTTAAATTAAAAAAGATACATATACATTATGTAATACATTAAAATAAAAAATAATAATATATTCATCTTAAATTAAAAAAGATACATATACATTAGACATCATAATATATAAAAATAATTATGCCTATAATAGTCATTTTATATTTCAACAGCAACCGCTACTAAAATTTTACCAAACATGAACAATAATCAGCTAACCGTTATCAGCTATCAGCCATCAGCCATTAGTTGTCAATAACCGCTATTAACTATCAACTGGTATGAACCGCTAAACCAAATATTGCCCTAAATCTATTGTTGAATTGGTTATTTTTGAATAATTAATATTTTTACTTAAAAAAAATTTAAAATAGTAATTATTTTGTGATAGTTGTTTTATGGTGTTAGTTAATTATCGGCTTAGTTTATCATGTTTGTTCGGCAAAATTAGTTGTTAATGTAACTATTAGCTGTTTTAGTAATATTTAGTTGTTAGCCGATTGAGTGGCTTTTTATAAAACATTAAAACCAAAACATTACATGAGTTAACTTTTCATAAAACACTACCTTAATCTCTAAAAGCTAATCAAACGCTATATTAATTACCGAACACTATAAACAATAGCATTTGACATTTTAACCGATTAAAATGCTAAAAGCTACTTAAAAAGCTGTTATCGAATACGACCGTTAGCTCACTCATGTACTAGGTATAATATCCTATGCTAGTTATAATAAATAAGGTCTTCATCATATTTATTTATTTATTATATTTCAATTTGATAAATTTTATTTTAAGTGATATCTGGTGAATGAATTATACAGACTTGAAGTTCCCATAATAATTCCGCAATATCCCATTTTACTAATAGTGTTCAAATTGAATCAAATCAGTCCAAACACAGTAAATCAATTTTTCTAAAAGAGTGGGACTCTAAATATAACTTTGTCCATTGAATCGAGTTGACTTAAATTCAGTTTGATTCGATTATTTTTTTTATTTTTCTTAGATTTTTAAGATTTTTACGCATCAAACTAGAATGAATTTTTTTGTAGTTTTTTTCTATAGAAAATAAAACCGAACTCAAAATGAATTTAAAATGCGGAATTCATATATAAATGAATTCTAGATAGAATTTTTCATATTTGGAATAAATTTAAAAATAAAAAATTTATTTATTTTTATTTCTCAAATATCCTTGGCATAAAAAGTTTAAGAGGCTATGTGGATGGATAGTTTTATAATAAAGTTTTAAATTGTTTAAGTTTGTGAAATTCATTTAGAAATTTCATATTTTTTTATAAAAATCGGTTTAATTTTATTGAAATCCATTAAATTGAATTGTTAGTTTTTTCAAACCAAACACAAAAATATGAATTTATAAATTAATTTCAATTTTGTGAAATTTATTTATTCTAATCAAGGGGTTAATAATTTAAAAATTAAATTCAATCAGATTACTTCAATGTTGTTGGTTTTATCAGTCATGCATGTGGTTCAATCATTAATGTGAGGCTTGACTTTTGTCTATTTAAGAAGTACCTCAAGCTTGCCAAAATTAGGAAAAAGATAGAAAAAAAGAAGGCAATGGCATGTTCTGGAATTGGGATTGCTGATTTTCTCCAAGGAAACAACTATTTCGTCACAGGCGCTACCGGTTTGTTAGGAAAAGGTACACACTTCTCTACTTGCGTTAAATGTGATTAACAACTGTTATCCATGTTGTATAGCATTTATTCTCTCGGTCTATTGAACCTCCTATGTAAAGATGATAACAGGTTAGATATCCGTTTAAAATACAGTATCCGAATCCGAACCCATCAAAATCAGATCGGAAATGGATCGGGTATCCTTCAGATCGGATGAAATTGTCATCCCTCCTCCTATGTATCAAAAGAAAAGCAACTGCTAAACCACACATCATTACTTCATTTATGTTATGTAAAATCAAAATATGACTCACCTTTTCAATTAAATTTCAGCTTTGATTGAGAAGATGCTGCGGACAATTTCTCATGTGGGAAGAATCTTTCTCTTGATTAGGGCGAAACACGAAGATGCTGCAATGGAGAGACTGAAAAATGAAGTATAATTAATTAAGGAACTCATGTTTTTAATATTAATATCAATAGGGACCTAATAATTAATTTATCAACATTAAAATTTTTAATTAGTTCATGAATTAAATTATTTTGGGTAGATAATACATGCAGAGTTGTTTAAGTGCTTGAAAGAAATTCATGGAAAATCTTATGAAGCATTCATGATGAGCAAGCTAGTTCCAGTGGCTGGGACTCTATGTCAAGATAATCTGGGGATGGATGCTGAAACGGCTACTGAAATTGCAGAACAAGTCCATGTCATAATAAACTCAGCAGCCACTACCACACTTGTTGAAATTGAAAGGTCCATGCACGAATTCTCTTTTGCTTTTTTCTTTTTTATCCATAAGGAGGAAAACTATCGTCATCGATAGGATTTCAACTTGAGAATTATTATTTCTCACATAAGTAAGAAAATCAATCCGACCGAACCTGATTAACTACATGAATTCTTTATTAGTTATATATATTTGATATTTTATTTATTGAATTTGGGACTGTGATGTAGGTATGATGTTGCTCTAAATACAAACACCAGAGGACCTCTTCGGCTCTTAGATTTTGCAACCAAGTGCCAGAAGCTTAAAGTTTTCTTGCATGTATCAACTGGTAAGTGAAGGCAAAGGTTTAATTTACCTCAATCAACCTGGATGTGCTATATAATTTACTTAATTTTTTTTGTACAATTACCATGACTCCAAATTCGCTCAAATTAAGGAAAAAAACTCAATTACTTTTGGACAAAAAGATAAAATAATAATTTTTAATATTAATATTTTATTTTTTATAAAATGATATTTTTCTTTTACCAATAATGCAAATTGCTTTATCAATATTAAAATACTAATTTTTTATTTTTTTTATTTTTTTTTTATAAAATTGGACTTTTTATTTATTTGGTGCAGTGTTAGCAAATAATATAAATTGGATAATTGTAAAAAAAAATAAATAAATTAAATTTTAGCAAATAATATATCACGCTCAAGTTCAGGAGTAAAATAACCTTTATTTCAAAAGTAATCTATGATTTACTTGTTAAAATGTATAACATTTAACACATATACTATACACAGCTTTTGTTAACGGTGAAAGACAAGGAATAATTCTGGAGAAGCCTTTTCACATGGGACAAGGCATTGCATCAAAAGTCCCTTTCTTGGATGTGGATGCTGAAATGAAATTGGTTTTCATGGGGTCTCTTGGGAGTAATAGTAATACCTATCATCATTTGGGCATGGAGAGGTATATATCTACTGCCATATATATATATATATGTCTCTTGGAGTAAATAGTAATACCTCATCATCAATTTGGGGCAATGGAGAGAATATATCTACTGCCATAATATATATATATATATATATATATATATATATATACTATATATAGTTAAATCGTGCTAAATTTATAGTTTTAATCGGCCTAATGTATAAATTTGCTTCTGAAATTTACTCGATTTATTTTGTGTCACCATCAAGTTTGCAGGGTTTATTATAACCTTAAATTTTCACATTTCAGGGGCATGGCTGGTTGATTGAACCGCCGGTTCAAAATTTTTAAAATATTGAACCTTAATTGGCCCTTGAACCATTGGTTTCGATTTCGGCATGGTTCCGATGAACCGACGGTTCCGTTCATGGTTTCCAGCAATATTAGTATTTTTTTTTTTTCAAAATAAGAAATAAAAATTCAGTTCTAAGATTGTCCTTTTTTTTCAAAAAAAATTAATATGAATTTAAAAAATATTGATAAATTTTATTTTAAATAACTTTTAGAATGCTCATACTCATATATTTGAAAATGCAGGGTTATGATTGAACTTTTAGAAAGTTATTTTATTTTGACGAAGGACATAGTTATTACTGAAATGTAAAAATGTAGAATGATAATAGATCATCCGTAAACTTGAGGGTGGCACAAGGCAAGTCGCTTAAACTTCAAAGGCAGATAAATGCATTTGGCCGTTCTTAATTTTTATATGTATATAAATTTTGACAACCATACAAATGAAAATAAAAATGGATAAAAGGGCAAGAAAGTATGGATGGAGAAACACCTATGAATTTACCAAAGCCATGGCAGAAATGTTGCTAAATGAGGAGAGGGGAAACATACCAGTTGTCATTATCCGTCCAAGCATTATTGAGAGCACCTATTCGGACCCTTTCCCAGGATGGATACAAGGAAATAGGTACGCATATATATTAGTAGTAATTAAGCAATGATGTTCATTTTGCCATCTTAACTTGTTTGCAACGTACCATTTACTTAAATTTTAGCTTTTGAATCAATTATAGCTGGAGATTTCAATTAAAAGAGTAATTCGATTCTGCGATCACCGCATGTAAAAGACAGACAATAAGAAAAGTTAATGACCTAACCTTTTATCAGCACAAACATGTTATCTATTTTCTCAATGACCTAATCAACACTTTTGTTTTGGTAAAAACAATGGCTGAATACATAAATTCACCCCTAAATTTTGCGACTTTAATCTTGTGGTACCGTGAATTTTGCAGATGATTTATCGTGCTCCTAAACATGTAAATTTTGTTACTGTTACACACCTTTCAATATTAATATTATTAATTTTTAGGATTTTTCGCTTTTATTTGTAAAATATCGACTTGATAAGTAGTTAGCATGACTTTTAGAACAATAATTTTCATAAATTAACTTTTGAATGAGTGTTTAATTGATCTGATTTTGCAAGTTGAAGTATTGAATAAAATAATTTTTGAAAATTAAAGGATTTAATAGGTGTAGTTTTATAAATTTAAGAGTACTTTGATAGGTCAAAATAAAAATTAAGAGTCCCACAAGGTTAAATTAACAAAATTCAGAGGTGAATTTATATATTCCGGCTAAAAAAATTGACCTAATTAGTTTGTAGTTGAAATTTCCTATCAAATTTAGTTTACAGACTCAGTGTTGGATTAATTATACAGTGCAATAAAAAGTTCAAGGTGCTAATTGCACATCATTCCAATTAGTAATGCATGTACGATTTATTGTGTTTCCTCATGCTTTGCTTATCTTAACCCTTTTTTTTTTTATGACACCAGATATAGGTAAGTCATTCTCTTAAGTCATTCTCTTATTATATTATTGTCGATCTTTATTTAATGAATGATGACAAATATCAAATATTATGGTCAGGATGCTGGACCCAATATTTATATCCTTGAATGCGGTCATTGACAAGTCTAGGCAAGTCTTATCTATTTGGATAAGCTTTAATAAATTAGTGTTGAAAGCATGCATGCATGAGCTATTATTACCATGATGGATATAGGTACCTATAGACATGGTGGTGAATGCTATTTTAGCAGCAATAGCAAAACATGGAATTGCTCCAAGAAAATCAGAATCAGAGCTGAAGGTGTACCAAGTGGCATCATCTGTTGCTAATCCAGTATCCTACGAGAATATTTTCCAGTTTGCTCGCGATTACTTCACTTCTTGTCCATTAATGGACTCCAATGGCAAGAAGATTCAGATAATTGGATTCAACTTTTTTGGATCAATGGACAGTTTCGTGTCTTACATGAGGGAAGTATTGGCAGCGCAGCAAAATATTGCAGAAGCAGAATTTAACAAAAGACTGAACCGAAGTACCCTGCTGGCCGAAATATATCAGCCTTATATGTTTCAAAGAGGATGGTAAAATTCTAGATTCAGCTTTCTTTATATATATATATACCGAAAATAATCAGCCATGTTCAAAATGAGGAATGGTAAAATTTCTAGATTCATGCTTCTATATATATAATATTATTAATTATATATATATATAATATATGGTATACTAAAATGTGGATTATCCCTCTATATATGGTATTACTTAAAATGTGGATTATCCCTCGTACCATGTTTCTGAAACGTCGTACCCAAATGTTATACATATGCATGCCAAAACATCAAAATTAGTGAATTGAGCAACCATTAGCTATAATATAATACTTAAAGTCAAAATTTTAATTAAATATCTCAAAATCTTAAACTTTTAAATCTTCTAATGATAGTAGTCAGTCACTGAGCATATTTAATAAGTTCTTAAATTTACTAAATAGTTAAAGAATAATCTTATTTGATAAAATAAGCTTTCAATTGTAATTGCTTTCAATTATATTATTTCTCATGTATTTAATTCAAAGCGAATTCAATAAAGTTTTTTTTATTTTGATTTTTATTTTTGTTTTGTAGGTTTGATAATAGTAACACCAAGAAACTGATTGAAGGTATGTCTACTGAAGAGAAAAAGTTATTTGGGTTTGATGTAGAGAGCATAAACTGGAAGAACTACTTCAAAAGCATCCACTTTCCTGGCCTGAGAAGACATGTTATTAAAGAAAAAACAATGGCAGCTGCAAGGCTGTGATATCCCTGCTTTAACAAATGGCTTCAATGATCCAATCAAGCCCAGAGAAGAAGATCCAATACTAGTACTACTATTATTAGTATTTTCCACGGCCAAAAACTGTTTATTATAGTAGGTAATGGATAGCGGGTACCCAGAATCTAATACTCGTACAGTACCTGTATCCGTTGTCAGTGGTAATTTCATTACATGTATGTCACGATCCATTTTCATGAACCAAACCGACACTAAGATCCAGGTAAGCATAAGGCTACCAAGACCCATAATAAGCCTACGAATCACTGAGCCCAAATATCAGCCCCAATTATGAGTTTACCCATTTATATTCCCATAGCATTTAGAAGGCTCATGTATCTTATAATCATACATCTTATGAAGTCGAAGTCTATATTTTCTATTAAAATATACAAGTGCCACGGTCTGTATAAATTTCAGAAATAGTAGTAAAACAAATAGAAATCATATACCCGACCCGTTGCATTGAAATACAATCAATAATTTTAATCGGGCCCATCCATGGCACCATCAAACCACATTGTCATAATATATGGACTTGTTCATTCATAAGAACTAACAAAGATTTTAGTTATACAAACATATTCGAGTAGACAATTCTTCCATCAATACCCAACTAGTCTTAAGGTAACTGCAAGGGTTGGATTTTTTATATATAATTTGGGAACAGAGTTTTAACACAAAAAATAAGTTCAAAAGCAGTTAAAATTTACATTAAGGCTCTGTCAATTGAGGGGAAAACAAAGCTATTCGTCAAAAGAAGAAAAGAGCTTCTTTCTGAAAAATTTAGATACAACGGGAATGAGTATAAAACTCATTGAATAATAATAAAACTCAGTGAATAATAATACATAATACTAAATTAAAGCAATCACAAGAAATATCCCAAGACTCTTCTAATTGAGCATTCATCAGTCATACAATGTCAATCGTAGCACCTATGAATAATATCAATCATAATGCACTCCAAGTGGTCATTAGTTAGTGGAATTACCTCAACAGGACCATGCTCTTCCCTAAGCATGCTTTAATAATAATGATATAACCTCATGGTCCTATGACTCGTGTACCCATGGAGCCCACCCTGTTGGGACAAAACATAGTCAGATATAAATATTTTTCATAAACATTTTTATTTATCATAAGAATTTTCCCATGATAAATATCTTAATTCGGGGTACAGAAGGAGGGGGGGGGGGCACTCTCACCGCTTACAACCCATTGACAGCATTCTCAACATGCCTGTGCTCTCACCCAGGTGATCCACGTTGTCCCAACTTTCACATAATAATCACATCACATAGTATTAAGTAATTATTCACAACATTTATCAATGCACATCCACATATATAATATATATATTATTACTCACAGAGAGATTCAAAAATTCTAGCCTTATTGAGCACTAGGACCGGAAGAGGAAGAAGGTCTCGCTCTATCACCAGCTATAAGAAATAAACAAGCTAAGAATTCGAATTCCTATACTTAGAATAATATTCTAAAAATTCTACCGAAAATTCGACAGAGTTTCCCCTAAAAGTTCAACTTTTTCCTTGATAAAATATCCATAATTCTCATTAATATAAAAACCCCATCCGTTGGGCAACATCCACATCAATAAAGCCATCTGTTGTTAACAATATTCATCAAGGTCTCACCCATATATCCAACTTAATAATATTACATTCTCAACTTTATATATATCAAATATTATGTAACGGTGGATTCTAAACCAATAACTAATATAACTTGTTAACATAAATACTATATACTACAAAGCTTAATTTTATTCATAAAAAAAATACTATTTATATATAAAGCTATCTAAATATTTTAATTCTTATCACTTTACTATATCTACTTTGATAATTAATCAATATAAATTTGCTAAGATCACAAAATCTACCTATGAGTCACATTTTTGCCTTTTTTGGCTTTAAAGCCGAATTTCTAAATTTGCATCGAGTAAATTGTTCGAAGGTCAAACAAGCTCAAATTGCAAAACTAATTACATATTTATAATCTACACAAAAAGGAGGATATTCTACCTCTTTAGAGTTACGGTCACCAAAACCACCGTTGCTGTACAGGTGGCCAGAGTGGCAGCAGGCCCGGAATTGAGCAAACTCAATACCATTTTGCTACAAATTTAACATAGAGCTTCAATTTAATTTTAATTTCTACTAATTAAATCAATTTTGTCTAAATCCCCAAATTTAGTCATTTTAATCCCTAAGCTCTAAATCCTCCAAAATTTTACTCAACGAGCAAATTAATCAAAGAAGGGTTAACTAAGAATTAGACTAGGGCAATGTTAAGAACTCGATACCAAAAGTTCATGCGATGATGATGACTCCACTAACAACAATAAATGGTACCTATGACTAAAATTAATGGTAACAATTTGGAGGTTATTTTTCATTGTAACAAAGAAAAAAAAAAAGAACTACATGATCTTTAATTCCTCTAAATCCCCAAGAGGATATGTAGGCAATTTAAGCATAAATTTTTATAAATTAGCAAAATTTTATGTATGTAGTAAATTAGCAAAATTTATAAACGTAACAATCACGATCTCTTCATAATAGTTTTGAGTTTTTTAATTTATAAACATTTAATGAAACTTTTTTCCATTCAAAAAATTTTAGCAATTTATTTAGTTAATAAAATTTAGACATTTTAAAATTATAATTTACTTGTAAAACTAGAATCGATCTCTTTTTTTTTTTTTTTTTTTTCTAGAAATCGATCTCTTTTTTTTTTTTTTTTTTTTTTTTTGAAGAAAATATATGTAACACCAAAATCATTTTAGAACTATAATTAGAACCATTATTTCATTGGAACTAAACTAAAACTAGAATCATATCAAAGCCGGAATTCAATGGTCGATTTTAGTCCAAAATTTTAAATATCTCAAACCATCGATTTAGTGAATAGGAATGGGTTGTTTATTAAATTGGCCTTGTCCGAATTTTGAGCCAGCTTGTTTACAATAATTGAGTCAAGCTGAGTCAAACTTGTATTTAACTACTTTTAAACAAGCTAAGTTCAAGTTTGAACTCGAGCATATCCCTACAATGCTGAACTCAAGCTCACTGGAGCTAAATGCAGCTCCTTTACAACCTTGAATTTGGGAGAAAAGTTGGAGCTTTGAGTGAGTGGTGCAATGTGGTAGGATTTAAGGAGGAGAGAGTCATGGTTTGATATGTTAGGAAGTGGAGACATTGTCTTTGCACCATGGTGGGTGATGGTGGTGGTTATCGTGGGTGAAAGATGTTTTACAGAGAGAAAAATTGTTATATTTCTTCTGTAAAGATTACATTGTTTTTAATATACAAACTGCTTCTAACTATCCACTAATTACGGCTCTAATTGCTCCTAAAGTTCCACCTAACATTGACTTTTACTTTTACTGTGTGTACAGGTTAGTGGACAGAGAAATGATGAACTATGATTCTGATCCCTACTTTTTCTCTATGAACTATGATTCTGATCCCTACTTTTTCTCTTCATCCGACACTCCCCCTCAAGTTGAGTAGTGGGATCTCCAATACTTAACTTGTTTAATACGTTATGAAAGGAATTTCCATTAACTGCTTTTGTCAAAATATCTGCCAACTGATCTTCAGATCGAACAAACGGCAATTCCACAATTCCTGCTTCTAGTTTTTCTTTGATGAAGTGTCTATCAATTTCAACATGCTTGGTCCTATCATGTTGAACAGGATTTTCTGAAATGCTGATTGCAGCTCTATTATCACACATAATTTTACTTAATTTAATTTTTACTTGCTCCAGATGGAGGAAAACCAATCTTCCACTTAACAATTTCCTTAGCAAAGAATTTCAGCTAGACCTACGAAGCTATTCCTCGAAACTCTGCCTCTTGCACTAGACATGGCCTACAACTTTCCTGTTTCTTACTTCTCCATGTGACTAAAGTTTCCGCCAACAAAAAGTGGAAGTAGCCCTGAAGTAGATCTGCGATCACATGACTACCTGCCATCTGCATCAGGTATACCTTTGTATATCCAAGATGCCCATTCCGTTTAAAAGAATTCCCCTTGACTAGACGTGCCCTTTAAGTACTTGATGGATTCTTAACACTGCATTCATATGAAATCAGTCTTTGAGGTCTGTGCATGAACTGACTTACTACTTCCAACTGCCATATGCTATGTTGTTTCGAGTGTGGTGAAAGATAAATTATTTTCCAACTAGTCGTTGATACCTTTCTTTATCAACCGATTTCTGCTCCTTCCTACTATCTGAAGTCAATGATTGTTTGCCATAGGCGGTGTCAGCTGGTTTCTTGCAGTACAACCATTCCTATTTCTGCCTAAGAAATCCAGAGTATACTTCTTTTCAAACACATATAAAAATTCCACTTGTTGATCTCAATACTTCAATTCCAAGGAAGTACTTCAGTGCTCCTAAGTCTTTCATTTCGAATTCAGTGAATAAGTTCCTTCTCAGCTTTGACATTTCTTCATCATCATTTCCTGTAATAATCATATCATCAACGTAGATAATTAAACAAGTAATAAGATTACCCCTTTGCTTAAGGAATAATGTATGATCTGAATTACTTTGTTTAAAATCATATTTCTTCATTACAATTGTAAATCGTCCAAACCAAGCTCTTGGAGACTGTTTAAGACCATAATCTTGGAGACTGTTTAAGACCATAAAGTGACTTCTTCAAACGACAGACTTCTCCAGTTTTAAATCCATTTGTGAACCCTGGTGGTGCTTCCATATAAACTTCTTCTCTTAGATCTCCGTGCAAAAAGGCATTTTTTACATCGAATTGATGGAGTGGCCATCCTTTATTAGCTGCTATCGAGAATAATACTCTGATCGTATCAATTTTAGCTACTGGAGAGAAGGTTTCTGAATAGTCTATACCATATGTCTGTGTATATCCTTTTGCTACTAACCGAGCTTTATACCTTTCAACAGTCCCATCCAGTTTGTGTTTGATCGTGAAGACCCAACGACAACCCACTGATTTCTTTCCATCTGGTAATTGACATTTTTCCCATGTGTCATTTTTAATTAGAGCATCCATCTCCGTCTTCATTGCCTGATTTCAATTTTTTGATTTTAAGGCAAGCTCTATAGTATGAGGAACTTCTTCTGAATATAGAGCTATAGTGAAGGCTCTGGCCCTTTCTGATAAGCTCCCCCTGACAAACTTTGCCCCCTGACCACATTTTGGTCACTGGATATTTCGTTCCTCGTGCTTCTTTTCTGGAGAATATCTTTTTAGGTGGAACTCCTCTGTTACCTTTCTGGGTGGTAGGACATACCTGTCCAACATTCTCTTTCCCTGTTCTACAGAAGTCTCCAAATTATCAACAGTTAGGCAGTTCATAACAGGAGTTCTCTGGAAGCCATCAGAATCTCTTACCTCAGGTATCAGGGAAGGAAGGAAGACTTTCTTC